CGTAGTGCGGCTGAGTGCGGTAGATCCGACACAAGGCCTACTATCACTTAAAACTAAATCACGTGCAGTGCTGTGGCGGAGATAGCGGTCTTACGCCCGATCCCACTAGATCTTCTAGGCATTTTTTGGCATTGGCTTCAAGTGCGTGAAGGTGGAAAGTGCGTTAGATGCTGCGCATGTCTACGTTTACTTGAAACGAATTCACGCGCAAGTCACCGTCCCTGCACCAACCTGTTTGGAGCATATGGTGGACATAATCCAAAAACGATGGTCAAACTATTATTGAGCTACCTCTAGTGATGTCTCTTTACGATGCGTTCCCACGTCTAACGATTCAGCTGAGTTTGGCTCACTTTCCTCCAGAGACGTATATCGAGCATCCAGTATGCAGCGCGCACGTCTACCTCTGGGAGAGCCGCGTTTTAAGCTTACCATCTCTTGATTAAGATAACCTCGAAATGTCATTCTGTGCGTGAACCGACTCATTTGAGCCGTTGTCCGTTCGCTCCACTCGAAGGATCAGTATTGGACAGCCGGAAGTGCTCGGAGAAGGGCGTTCATAGACCGGGGATAACGATACCGCGCAAGAGCCACCGCTCTTGATTCTGCGGGGCACCGGCGACTAACCTGCTACAGTCTGTTTCCTTCCGAGTTTCCTTCATAGTGTCTGCTTTCCGCCAAGTTAGTCGTTAATTGTCAAGACATGAAAGTCGCAAACTGGAGTATCTGCCAGAAATTTCACAGAGGCTGCTAGCGGACCCACTGGCGAGCCGGACTCCACACAGCTGTGCCATACAGTGACAATTGTTTGGGCCACCAGTATGGTAAATTGGGCAAACTAATGTTGCCTCTGCATCCTTTCCCCATCTACTGTCTTCTTAAGAGTTTTCGTGGTGAACATCGAAATCATGCTGACAGCACATGAAAACCAAGACTGTCTACACGAACCCTGACCAGGTTTTCTGTGGTGCAGTGCGAATGGTGGAACATGTAGGAGTTTGCGGATTCCATCACCAGCAGGGATTGCCGCACTCTCTCCCTCTCTTCCAATCGCTAATCGCGTTTTTTCTTTTGTCAGTTAATGTGGATGTTGGCTTGCACTTACAGTTTTTTTTTCAAAAACCCAAACTTCAATAGCTTTTTTTAATTCTGCCTTCCCATCGTACATTTGTTCCCCCGTCTGTGTGATCTACTATAGTGCACACGAGTATGGGTGGTCTGGCACTTACTGACGAACTAGTGAACTGGGGGCATCAACATACACCAACCGCACACACATCTCTACTGCCCACGCGCATTCAGTCATTGCATGGGCTTACTCGGCTCCAGATGCCTCCATGAAAACTCACTTTTGAACACCAATAGCCATAAAACATTACGATATATCTCCTCACCAGAACAGCCACAGCACAGGAGAGTTCGACCGTCGATTTCGACTATGTCCACCGTGTGCTACACAGCGGGGTGGTGCAGGGAGAATGAGTTGAAAATGAATTAGTTTTAAGTGATAGTAGACTTGCGCAGCATCTACCACACCCTCTCTTCCCTCACCCACCTGAGCCGCGTGTCGTGATGGAGTCAAGGAGGCCGGCGGTGGGATCGG